CCGCGAGCGGGAGGCGCTCATAGCGCGGGCGAAGGGACATCCCGCGCGGCCGCAGCTGGAGGTACCCCGGAATTCCGGGAAAAATCGGGAATTCCGGGAAAAAACTGGGAATTCCGGGAAAAAACTGGGAAAAAATGGGAATTCTGGGAAAAAACTGGGATAACGGGGTGTTTCCATGAGCTGGAGGCGCTCATAGCGCGGGCCAAGGGGCACCCGGCACGGCCGCAGCTCGAGGTACTCGGAATGCCGGGAAAAACTGGGAATTCCGCGAAAAAATGGGAAAAAACTGGGAAAAAATGGGAATTCTGGGAAAAAACTGGGATAACGGGGCGCTTCCACGAGCTGGAGGCGCTCATAGCGCGGGCCAAGGGATACCCGGCACGGCCGCAGCTCGAGGGACCCGGAATGCCGGGAAAAACTGGGAATTCCGCGAAAAAATGGGAAAAAATGGGAATTCTGGGAAAAAACTGGGAATTCTGGGAAAAAACTGGGATAACGGGGTGTTTCCACGAGCTGGAGGCGCTCATAGCACGGGCGAAGGGAAACTGGGATAACGGGGCGCTTCCACGAGCTGGAGGCGCTCATAGCGCGGGCCAAGGGATATCCCGCGCGGCCGCAGCTGGAGGTACCCGGAATGCCGGGAAAAACTGGGAAAAAACGGGAATTCTGGGAAAAAATGGGAAAAAACTGGGAAAAAATGGGAATTCTGGGAAAAAACTGGGATAACGGGGTGTTTCCACGAGCTGGAGGCGCTCATAGCACGGGCCAAGGGACACCCGGCATGGCCGCAGCTGGAGGTACCCGGAATGCCGGGAAAAACTGGGAAAACTGGGAAAAAACTGGGAATTCTGGGAAAACCTGGGGAAAAAATGGGATAATGGGGTAACGGGATAACATGGGATAATGGGGTAACGGGATAACGGGATAATGGAGCGGCGCTTCCATGAGCTGGAGGCCCTGATCGCCCGCGCCAAGGGGTATCCAGACCTGGAGGTACCCTGGAATTCCCGGAATACCGGGATAATGGGTTAACGGGATAACCGGGATAACGGGGTAACGGGATAGCGGGGCGCAGCCGCGCCTCGAGGTACCCCATTCCCGGGATAATGCGGAATTCCCGGGATAAGGGGGTTCCTGGGCCACACGGCGTGGCTGCACCTCAAGGTACCGCGGGATAACTGGGAAAACCGGGATAATGGGGTGCGCCAAGGGCCACGCGGCACACAGGCACCACAAGGCGCCACGGCATTCA